TTTGTTCAACCATGTTTCTTGACTTTCTCCACATCTTCCTTCAGTTCTTTAAGCATCTTTAAGACAGTTGCTTTTAAATCTTTGTCTGGTATATCTACCCTCAGTTCTTTTCAAGGACAGTTTCTGTTGATTTATCTTCTTCCTCTGGTGGGCCATACTTTCCTGTTTCTTTGTAGGTCTTGTGACATTTTTGTAGAAAACTGGAATTTGAACCTAATGATGTGGTAACTCTGGAAATCAGATCCTCCTCCTTCCCCAAGGTTTTTGTTTTTGTATATTACTTTGCTTTTTAGTTGTTTTAAGCTGTCTCTATGCTGAGGACCTGCCTGAGGTGTCAGCTTAAGGTCTTTTCTCAGTCTTTCTCTGGGCATGTGTGATCAATTTTTATTTTTTTTCCCCTGTACATGCAGTTGTTTTTAATATCTGGATTCCAAAAGGGGAAAAAAAATAAGGGGAGATGGAAAAGGCACTGGCCCCTTAGGTCCCCTGGAAATCCCTTCAACCAGAGGAGGAGAGACTTGCAATAACTACTGGGAGTTGGGGGGATGCAAAAGGAGATCAGAGCACAGATCCCTGATATCTGGGGGGCAGGGTCCCTTTTGCCATCCTTGGCTATCACAGGCTGTGTGCAGGCTGCTCCAGGAACATGTACACAGCTGAGTGCCATGTGGGGGCAGAGGATGGGTAGCTGTTAGTGTGCTAAGCACTAAAACTGATTGAAATTAGCTGCAATCTTACCTGCCCAAGTCTTCCCCTACAAGTTGCAAGCCTTCAACAGACTTGAGTTCCAAAACAGTTACATTAGACAGATTCTGCCAGTGCAATTGCTGTTTAGGTGGGTAGACAGATTGCTGATGCTCCCTAGTCTGCCATTTTCCCAGAATCCTCCGTGGGATGGTTTTTAAACCACAAATGAAATTTAATTGATATAGAGTTATTCAGGTTACCTATTTCTTCTTTTTTAAAAGATCTATTCTTGAATCAGCTTTGATAGTGTGTATTTCAAGGGATTTGTCTATTCCAATTAAGTTGTCAGATTTATAGGCATAACGTTATCTATAATATTCCCTTATCTTTTTCATATCAGTAGAATCTGCAGTTATGTCACCTTATTCCTCATAATGGCAATATGTATCTTTCCTCTTTCCCACCCCCTTCATGTCTAGAGGTTTATCAATTTATTGATATTATCAAAGAAACAGCTATTAGTTTATTAATTTCCTCTAATGTGTTTGTTTTCTCTTTCATTGGTGTCTGCCCTGATCTTGTTTCCTTTCTTATGCTTGCTTTGTATTTACTCCACTATTCCTAATTTCTTTTTTTAAAAATTTTTTAACAATTGTTTATTTTTGAGAGAAACAGAGCACAATTAAGGGAGGGGCAGGGAGGGAGAGAGATGCAGAATCTGAAGCAGGCTCCAGGCTCTAAGCTGTCAGCACAGAGCCCAACATGGGGCTGAAACCCATGAACCACAAGATCATGACCTAAGCCAAAGTTGGACACTTAACTGACTTAGCCACCCAGGACCCCCATCCTCTACTCCTAATTTCTTAAGGTAGGAGCCAAAATCATTGATTTGAAACCTTTCTTTTATTTTCCTAATACGGTTGTTTAGCAGTATAAAAATTCCCCCGAGTACAGCTTTAGTGACATTCCCCAATTTTTGATATATTGTTTTCATCTCCATTCAGTTCAAAATATTTTCTAATTTCCATCTGGATTTTTTAGAAGTGTGTTATTTCATTTTCATAATTGGGGATATTCCAGAGGTCTGTTGGTTATTTCTCATTAAATTCTACTGTAGCTGCAGAATGCACTTTGTATGATTTCAGTCCTTTTACATTCATTGAGAGGTCTTTTATGGCCTAAAACATGTCTATCTTGGTAAATGTTCTCTGTGTCTTAGAAAGGATTAAGTATTTTGCTGAGTGTTCTATAAATGTCAACTAAGTTGAATTAGTTAATAATGTTGTTCAAGTCTTCTACATCTTTAATTACTTTTAGTGTACTTTGTCAATTAATGAGAATGGAAATATCTGACTGTAATTTCAAATTTATCCATTTTTTTCTTGCAGTTCTATGTTATTAAGTAAAAAAATTAGGATTATTATTTCATCTTAAAGAACTGGTCTCTTTATAATCATGGAATCATTTTCATTATTCCTGGTAATATTCTTTCCTCTGAAATCTTTTTTCTCTGATATTACTAGAGCTGTTTCAGCATTCTTTTAATTAGTGTTAGCATGGAGTAGTTTTCCACGCTTTTACTTTGAACCTATCTGTGTCTTTATATTTACTGTGTTTCATGTAGGCATGATATTACTGTAGTTGGGTGTTGCTTATTTTATTCAATCTGACAGCATCTGCTCTTTAGTAGGAGTTGTTAGACTTCAGTGGACCCTTAGGGGTGCCAGATGAAAAGCCACATAAAACTTTCGACTCCCCCCGCCAAACTTAACTACTAATGGCCTACTGTTTGCCAGAAGATTTAAACAATTATATTTTAAAGACATTTAATTAATAAGAGAAGAAACTTACATAATTGCCCGTGTGGTTATCAGTGCCCTGTATTCCTTTGTGTTGACCCACATTTCCATTTGGCATCATTTTCCTTCTGCCTAATGAGCATCTCCTGTAGTGAAAGTTTGATGGTGGGTGAAATCTCTCAGCCTTTGTATATCTGAAAATGTCTTTATTTTGCCTTTGTTTCTGAAAGATTTATTTTTGCTGGATATAGAATCCTAGGTTGACAGTTTTTTTTCTTTCAGTACTTTAAAGATGTCCTTTCTAGTTTTGTTCTTCTGTGGCTGCCTGTAAGATTTTTTTCTTTATTAATGGCTTTGAGAAATTTTACTATCATATACTTTGGTGTTGCTTTTCTTCATGTTCCTGTAGTTTGGAATTTGTTGAGCTACCTGTAAAATCTGTTGTCATCAACTTTGGAAAACTTTCAGTTATTTCTTCAAATAATTTTTCCTGTTCTCTGTTTTTCCTTCTGGGATTACAAGTATTTCAAAATTCTTTTAAGTTACCCAACATCTCATTTATATTCTTTTCTTTCTTTTGAGAATTCCTCTTTTCTTCTTCTGTGTTTCATTTTAGATCACTTCAACTGGTCTATCATTATGTTCACTAATGTTTTCTTCTGCAATATCTAATCTATTCATTCTTTCCAGTGTATTTTTCACCCCACATACTGTAATTTTCATCTCTTAATATTTGATTTGAGCCCTTTTTATATTTTCCAGGTCTCTACGTCTGAACATATGGCTCATAATTATAGTAACTGTTTTAATGTCATCTGCTAATTCTAACATCTGTGTGAGTCTGTTTCTGTTTCAATTGATTGATTTTTGTCCTCATCATGGGTATGAGTACAGACTTTAAATTTTTTGTCACAGAACAGCAAATTGCCCTCCAGAAGTGTTTTATCACTTATCCTAACTACCAATAGCCTAGAGTGTCTGTTTCCCTCCCTATCCTGCCAGCACTGAATTTTGTCAGTTTTTTTTTTTTTTTTTTTTTTTAATTTATTTCTAGGCGAGAGAGACAGCATGAGCAGGGAAGGGTCAGAGACAGAGGGAGACACAGACTCTGAAACAGGCTTCAGGCCCTGAGCTGGCAGTCAGCACAGAGCCTGACGCGGGGCTTGAACCCACGAACCGTGAGATCATGATCTAAGTGAAAGTCGGACGCTTAACCGACTAAGCCACCCAGGCGCCCCAAATTTTGTCAGTTCTTAATCTATGCCAATCTTACATGCTCAAGTATTTACTCCCATGACAGATATTTACTGAGCACCAATTCTGAGCCTAGTGATGGATGGAGGCAATTCTACGGTGCTCAAGCAGCCACAGGAGCTGCTCTCATGGTGCTTCTAACCTGGTGGTGTTTACCATGTTTTTATTTGTATTCACTGATTATTAGCAATGTTGAGCATCTTTTCCCAAGTGTATCAGTCACTTACATTTCTTCTTTGGTATACTGCTACTAACATTCATTGGATTGTCTGGGTTTTTTATTCCTTTGTAAGAGCTCTATATTTACTAGGGATAGATACCACTTACATCTTTTAAATTAAAAATTTTTGTTTTATAAACAAAGACAGTTCCTTTACAATTAGCTAACAGTACATAATTTCTTTGAAGAAATTATTTCCATGTTACTCAAATCCTTTTCTTTTTCTACATTAAAAATAAATAGGCATTGATTCTAGTTTCAAAACAATGCCCTTAAAAACAAATATTTTTGAATACAAAAATATAAAATACATATATGAATAAAGTATACATAAATACTTTCATATATATTTGACATCAACATATAAATGACTTACATTCTTTAGAAATAATTATGCAGATTCCAAATACCGTTTTACTATCTTAATAATGAAATGGAAAGTCAAAGAGATGAAACATTTCTAGATTAAATATTCCCAGCTGATGAAATATTTCTGGCAGAGCCTTGCCATCTATATTGGAAATGCCCTATATGCAAGATTGTTATTTTGTAATTATCTAAGATCTATTCAAAGGAGAAAATGTCAGAATCCCCAGTATAGCATGTTTACTTATTCGCTGAAGAGTAGTAAGAGCTCTTGTGCACACACACAGAGTAGCAAGGCACATGCCACCTATGCATGTGACTGTGCAGGTGAATGCTTCCTGGAACTGCCAGGAAGAGCACCTGGGACACAGTTTCTACAATGTGCCCAGTGTCTTTTTAGCCTTCATGGGCAACATGAGGTGGCAGGGGGCGGTGGACCCTGAGAAGTGTTCAACTTTATAGTCAAGGATATAACTGTACACATGTCACAAGGCTGAGGGGTGTTAGCCCTCCGAATATGCTGGAGGAAATCTATGCCACCACTTAAGCTGTGAGTTCATAAACTGAGCAGTGTGAATGATGATGATGACGATGGCAAGCGCCAGCAAAGCCCCATGAGGCCCAATCCACCAGCCCTTCCATTGGGCTTGCCTCCCCTCCCCACCCCAACTGACCTGTTTGGTGCAGGTGGTCTCTGGCCACCTCAAACAAGCGCAGGTGCATGTTGGTGATGGGATTGAAGGAGCCACAGGCAAGGAGCACCACTGGGATTCGGCACTTCATCTTGTCAGGCACCTCCACACCCACAGCAGTGGCCACCCTGCCTTCATGGGGACAAAAACCCATGTTAGAGAGCTGGCACCAGACAGCTGTCCAGGTCAGTGTCCCTAAAACATACACAAGTCATTACATCTCATTTATAAAGGTGACTGAAGGGGCAGTAATAACAATAACAACATTAAAGGAGGACTTACTATGGGCCAGGACCTGTGCTAAACACTAAGTCAAGGTATGTCCCCTGTCTCACCAAATCCTTTCAATAGCCACGAGGGGTCATCTATCCAGCTCAGGGACCTTAGAAGCTGCAGGACTGGAACCCAGGCAGCCTGACTGCAGAGACCTTGTTCTTCCTGTAACCTCTGTAGCCCCCCTGGGCTCTGAAGGGTCACTTTGGAATCAAAAGGAGGTACATAAGACCCCCATAATGTCATCTCTGATAGTCCAAGTGAAACTTAGATCCTAAAGTAGACTGGTAGTTTAAAAAAAAAAACTTATTTAAAAATACTTTCAGATAAGCAAGCAGAGTTGCAAAACTTGAACAAGGAGTTCTTGTACATCCTTTACCAGACTCCTCAAACATTAGTATCTTACCACATTTGCTTTATTATTCTCTCTCTCTCTCTCCACACACACACACACACACACACACACACACACACACACACACACACACTTATATGTGTTTCTAGAATGTTTAGGGGTAAGTCGTAGGCATAATACTTCTTTACCTATAAATAATTCATTATGTGTTTTCTAAGAACAAAGGCATTTTCTTATGTAATTGTGGAGCAATGATTAAAATCAGGAAATCAAATTGTTATAGATCTATTATCTAATCGGAAGATCTTTCTGGCTTTACCTATTGTTCTTTACCTAGGGCCAAAGCAGTTTGAGGGTCCTGCCCACCCTTGTCTCTACACTCTGGGGCTGTGAGGGCCAGGGTGAGGTTAAAGGAAAGCAGAAAAGAGCCTGGACTCCAGGGCACGCTGGCACACCTATCTCTCCTACCTCTGAGATGCTGCCTTCTGAGGTGGTGAGCTCCATTGGAGTTAGGCTTTGGTTTGACTCCTACTTTTGCCTCTCACTTGCTGTATGACAGAAGGCAATTCGCAGTCCCTCTGTGAGCTGCTTGTTTCCTTATAGGCAAGATGGGGATGATCTTACTTTACTCTTACAGGGTTGTGAGGATCAATGAGCTCTGTATGAAAAGCCTGGTGTAGAAGCAGCATTTGACAAATTACTGTGGCTGTGGTGATGATGATGCCAATAAGGAAAAGGGGGCTGTGGCTGCTGACTTTGGCAAGAGAGAAGGAGTAGAAAGGTGGGGGCATCCCGTAATCCTTACCTCCTAGTACTCACCTGCAGTAACCCACCCCCCTTGAGTTTGGGCTGGACCTAGTAAGTTGCTTCTACTAGAAAGAATACAGCAAAAGAGTTGGAGTTCACTTTGGAGAGGTTACAAAAAGACTCTGGCTTCCTTCTTTTGATTTCTTGCTTGCTCACTGTGATGAAGCCAGCTCTCATGTTGTGAGCTGCCTCATGGAGGGACCCAAGGGGCAGGAACTGAAGGAGACCTGTGGTGCCAACAGCCTGTGGGGAATTCAATCCTGTCAACAACCACATTAGTGAATGTGGAAGGGGCTCTTTCCCCAGTCAAGTCTTCAGATGAGACGGCAGGCCCATGAACATCCTGACTACAGCCTTGTGAGAGACTTGAGTCAGAAGACCCCACTTAAGCTACTTCTATATGCCTGACCTACAGAAACTATGAGAATAAATGTGTATTATTTTAACCTGCTAAATTCTGGGTTAATTTCCTAAGCAGCAGTAGGTAACTAACACAGTGATCAACAGGAAACATGCATTCACTTCCTTCTTTTCTTTCTTGCTGTGGTGACTTTGGCTCTAATTCTGCAGCTCCATGGGTAACATGGCGAGTTCTCGGTCACTGGAACCTGGAACCCTCTTTGTATCTAAGGAAGCTATTTTAATCTGGCCTTTGTTGTCTGCTTCTTGAGATCCAGTGTAGCTGTCTACTGTCAGACTTTTTGTCATGCACGAAACAGATAACCTATTTGCTTAAGCCACTGAAGTTAGGCTTCTGGGACTTGCAGTCAAACACTATAAATGCTGGGACTTACATCCAACCGCTGCCTGCCTCATACCTTACACTCTAGCAATAATGAACTACTGGTCAGTGGTTTCTTTGTGAGCTCCGAATGGCTTCCTGCTTCAACCTTTTGTACATGTTACTTCAGTTTCCTCCAACTGGAATGCCCCCAGCATGCTCCAATCTGGTAAGAGTCAATGCAGGTGATCGCATTATTTATGACTTCAATCACTATTTCTTGACTGCTAGGTGCCGGTATCAGGGGTGCATTTGGCTACAAGTCCCAGACACCTAACTTCAGTGGCTTAAACAAACAGAGGCTATTTGTTTCTCACAGGACAAGAAGTCTAAGGAGTCAGCTGCCATTAGGTCACTGGCTCACAATGACCAGCAATTCTCTCAGCTTTTCCCTCACAGTCACAGGATTGCTGCTGTAGCTACAGCCATCATGAATATGATCAAGACAAGTAGGAGCGACAGGCTACACTAGCCTGGGTATCCTTCTTAATCAAAAACAAAAGAGCTTTCTTAGAACCACCCTGTCGATTTTGCTTCTCATAGGCCAGAACTAGATCACATGGCCCCTCTAGCTAGGAGAGAGGCTGGAAAAGCAAGTATTTAGCTTTCCAGCCTCCAGTAGGAAGCAGAAAGGAAAAGGGAATTGGAAATGGGATTAGCTAATTCACAGCATCTGCCACAGAGTGGCACAGAGGGACACAACTGCCATGGAGATGACTGTGTAGAAGGTGGCCACGGTGGCTTTTCTGACAGATCTATGGTTACCTTCAGTAGATCACATTCTATAGAACATATTCTATAGGACATACTCTATAGGGAATACCTGCTCTTCTGTGTTTCCTACCCACCAGATCATAAGCCCATTTAAGAGGACGAGTGGTGTTTTCTTCATCTCTCGATCCCAGCCTCAAGCACAGTGCCTGGCCCAGATTAGGGCTCAGTGAAGACTGAAAAAAGCGGGCTGTAGGGTGGACCTGCATCCTGGTGGGAGGAAGGCCTGGATGCACTTCCTAATGCAGAGAAGTTGTTCTGGAAGTATTCTGAGTTATAGCAGCCAGATTAAAAACAACAACAACTCTCAACCTAGGCGGGCTATGGTTTGCTGAAGCTTCCTTTAAGGCAGCACGAACACCCCCTACTGCAGGAGAAGAAAGCGGTCTGCAAGCTACTGCTGCTCGCTTCTTCACAGGGAGGTTGGATGGTTTAATGAGATATTATTTGCAGAGTGTGCTGAGCTATTCAGAAGAGCAGCCCCATGATGAGTGTATATCGAGAGGCTGGCTGTTGTTCACAACTATTATGAAGCCTCTCAAAGTTCTATTTCATTTTGACAAAATATAACTTTTTAGAGCCATTAAAACATGTAACTGCACCATCTCAGGTAACCTGGGGTTTTGATCCATTTTTTTCCCCAAACATTCCCAGAAATGATAAATTAGATCATGTGTTTTAAATGGTGGCATCAACAGCAATGAAGTGTGATGTTGGGGAAAAAGAATCAATGACATTTAATAAGTATGTCTGTCTGTCTTTTCTTTCCTTGCCAGCAGCCCACTGAGCCACACTACTCCAAAGTGACTTAGTGTGCCCCAGCCGCCGTTGAGACAAGAGAGGCAGTGAGTGCATGTTCCCAGGCTCGGGACTGAGGTCACTGCTCCTGCGTCACTTGTATACTCTAACCTGCCTCAACTGCACAACCTGCCAAGCCCAAACCCAGAGAAATACAATGATAGTGTTAAAATGGCCTCACTCCAGGGGCCACCAGGAGAATAAACCAGGCTCCAGTTTGAGTGCAGGCCAGATGCGCACCATAAAAGTGACTCATCTGCCCTGTCATTTGGTAATGTCTAGTGAGACAAAGCAAGTGTGGGAGACTTTTGCTATCAGGAAAGGCTTCCCATCAATAACCATTTAATGGGGGGCCACACAGTGAACAGTAATTGCTGCTGAAGTATTTAACAAGTTGAGAAGGAGGTGTACACGGCCTTCTGGGAATTTATCATTATATTGGAGAGACAAGGCAAATAGATTCCACCTCTGGTCCCTACCCCCTCTCCAGAGTACCGCCTATCACTTTACAGTCAGCATCTTACCCCACTCTTCAAATGCAGCAGGCTGCCTCCCTTTTCTTAGCTTCTGCAAATGCTATTTCAACTGCCTGAAATACCTTCCTCACCCCTGCCTTCAAGGTTTTCTCCTTGGAGTGTTTACCCAATTGCCCCTCCCTATCCTCCCACCATGCCATATGTACCCCTCATTACACGTTTTATCACTTTCTTCTTCCAGCCACCACAGAACTGCCATTGCTTCATTCCCATGTCACTTTCCCCCAAGCAGAAGGTGAATTCCTACAGGGTGGTTTCTTTTTAAAATTTTTTAAATGTTTACTTATTTTTGAGAGAGAGAGAGAGAGACAGAGAGACAGAGACAGAGTATGAGTGGGGAAGGGGCAGAGAGAGGGAGACACAGAATCCGAAGCAGTCTCCAGGTCCCGACATGGGGCTTGAACCCACACACCATGAGATCATGACCTGAGCTGAAGTCGGACACTCAATGCACTGAGCCACCCAGACGCCCCTACAGGGTGGTTTCTCATTCATCTTGGTCCCCTCAATTCCTGCACTGTGCCTGGCTCACAGGTGCTCAGGAAATGTGTAGAATGAATGAGAGAATGAGTGACTGTCTCCAACCAAGTGTCGTCCTTTTCAGACAGCTACCTCATCTCTTTGGTTCTGTCTCAAATGGTGAGTGGACTGTTTGATATAAAGGTGAGATATAAACTGACCTTTCTGGCTTTCAAGAGGCAAGTAAGACCCCTTGCCAAGGTCCCAGTCCACTTCAGACCAGAATCAAGCAAGACACTCCTGCCTGCTGGGCCATCTTCAATGTCATGATTCCATCAATAGGGATGTACCG